AAAAAAAAAAAAAAAAAGAGGACACACAACACGTGTTAGTGAGGATACAAAGAAAGGAGAACTCTTGCACACTGTTGGTGGGAACGTAAATCAATACAACCACTGTGGAAAACACTGTGAAGGTTCCTCAAAAAAGTAAAAATAGAACGATTCTAAGATCCAGCCATCCCACACCTGGGTAGAGAAAATCAGTGTGTCAGAGAGAGATCTGCACACACCCTTGTTCACTGCAGCACTATTCACAACAGACGAGGTAGAATCAACCTAAGTGTCCATCAGTGAATAAATGGGTAAAGAAAACGTGGTATGTGCATACACAGTGGAATACTATTCTATCTTCAAGCAGGAGGCAATTCTGTCATTTGCAACATGGATGAGCCTGGAGGAAATCCTGTTACATGAAATAAACCAGGCACAGAAAGACAAATACCGGCCGGGCTCAGTGGCACAGTCTGTAATCCCAGCACTTTGGGAGGCCAAGGCGAGTGGATTGCTTGAGCCAACTGTTTTGAGACCAGCCCGGGCAACTTGGTGAGACCTTGTCTCTACAATAAATAAAAAATTAGCTGGGCATGGTCGCATGCACCTGTAGTTCTGGCTATTTGGAAGGCGTGGCCTTGAGCGTGCCACTGCACTCCAGCCTGGGCAACAGAGGGAGACTCCAACTCAAAAAAAAAAAAAAGACAAATACCAAATACCATGTGATCTCCCTTATACACGAAGCTGGGAAAAAGTCATTCCACAATGTTTACATACATACATGGCAATCAAAACATCATGTACACAGTATATATAACTTAGACAAATTTTTAAAAAAATTTTTAAAAGGGACAGCTTAGCCGGGCTCGGTGGCTCAGCCTGTAATCCCGCGCCTTTGGGAGGCTGAGGTGAGTGGATGGCCTGAGCCCGCGGGTTCGAGACCCGCCTGGGCAGGCGAGACCTCATCTCTACAATAAATCAAAAAATTAGCTGGGTGTGGTAGCACGCGCCTGTAATTCCGGCTACTCGGAAGGCTGAGGCGGAAGGATTGCCAGAGCCCAGCAGGTCGAGACTGTGGTGGCCGGGAGCGGCCATTGCACTCCAGTCTGGGCGACAGAGTGAGACTCCAACTCAAAAAAAGAAAAAAGGGACAGCTTGATGAATATGGATTTTTGCTGTTGTTGGCAAAGATAAACATCATCAGTTCAGAAGCAACTATAGGGCTCCAAATTACATCACACAGAAGTACACTCTTTTTTGGTCCCTGGTCTCTCCTTTGTCCTCACAATTACTCCGCCATGAAGGGACATAATCAGATTGCAAAATTGCCTGATGGTCAGAGAGCACAGTAAACCTGTATTCTTCCTTGATCCACTAAACAGTTCCACCATGTCCTAGTGATACACTCGAGGACAAGAGGTCTGTTCTGTGTGGCAATGGAGCTATTTTTTTTCTCTTTGAGTCAAAGTCTCACTCTGTTGCCCAGGCTGGCATGCAGTGCAAGCTCACGGCCATGCAGCCTCGACCTGCTGGGCTCAGGCGATCGTTCTACTTCTACCTTCCAAGTAGCTTGGACTATAGGTGTGTGCCACAACGCCCGGATAATTTTTTGATTTATTGAAGAGATGAGGTCTCTCCATGCTGCCCGGGCTGGTCTTGAACCTGTAGGCTCAGGCATTCCTCTCATCTCAACCTCCCAAAGTGCTAGGATTATAGGCAGGAGTCACTGCAATGAAGCTATTTAACAATCTAGAAACCAAGCATTAGCTGGGTATGGTGGCTCACACCTGTAATCCCAGCACTTTGGGAGGTCAAGGTGGGAGAACTGTTTGAGTCCAGGAGTTTAAGAGCCTAGACAACATAGCCAGATCTCATCTCTACAACAAAATTTAAAAAATTAGCCAGGCTTGATGGCATATGCCTGTACTCCCAGTCTGGAGGCTGAGGCAGAAGGATTGCCTGAGCCCAGGAGCTCGGGGCTGCAGTGAGCCTGAGTGACAGAGTGAGAATGACTCAAAACATGCAAACAAAAAACCGAGCATTAAAAATGTCTGATTGAATAAAGAAAGAAATTAAACTTGTGTATGTGAAGAGAGGAGAGACTTTTTCAAAGGTTTCAGCTTTCTGCATTAAAGGACGAGGAGGAGGAGAGCTGGCTAGAGTGTGTCTTGGTTTTCTCTTCCTTCCTTGAAGGGGGTGGTATCGCCTGTTGAGTAGCATCCCCCGATATTAACGTCCATGCAGAACTTCAGAACGTGAAGAGGTTGGTTAACAGATACAAAAGCACAGCTGAACAGGAGGACTGAGTTCTAGTGTCCTACAGCACTGTCGAATGACCACAATAAACAACAATTTATTGTGTATTTTCAAATAGCTGGAAGAAAGGATTTTAAATGATACATGTTTGAGGTAATGAATATGCTAATTACCCCGAGTTGATCACTACACATTGTATGCATGTATGGAAATATCACACTGTATCTCACAAATATATATAATTATTATGTTTGTATCAAAAACAATTAAAACAAAAATAAAATGAAAAATGCCTGGTGATTACTTTTGAGTCATAAAAACTAAGTCACTTCAATGGTCTTTGTTTTGCAATAAGGCCTATTATAACTTTAGTTTTTAAAGTATGCAATAGAGGTGTGGTGGCTTATGCCTGCAGTTCTAGCACTTTGGGAAGCCAAGGCGAGAGGATTGCCTGAGTTCAGGATTTGCGACCATCCTGGGCAATTTGGTGAGACCTCGTCTCTACAGTAAATAAAAAAATTAGCCGGGTGTGGTGGCATGCACCAGTGGTTCCAGCTACTTGGAAGGCTGAGGTGGAGGGATCTCCTGAGCCCAGCAGGTAGAGGCTGAGGTGGCTGTGAGCGTGCCAATGTACTCCAGCCTAGAGAGTGAGGCTCAGACTCAAAATAAATAAATTAATTAAGTATGCAATAGAAATTGATATCAGGAAAGACAAGTATAAATTTCTCATTCAACCAGTTATAACAAAGGGTAAGAATTTATAACATTAGTTGCTAACAGAAGTCTTTGTGTCTCTGGCGATGCTGTTTTAGATCAAAAACATAACTCAAATATGGAAAAATAAAGTCCTAACAAATCACATCAGAAGTGCCAACCAACAGCACACTCTCAAAACTTCTGAGAAAGTCCTCAGAAGTCAGGATGCAGCAGAGAACTTCTTCCTCTTCTTCTTCTGCCAACAAGTATGTCTCAATTCCATGGATCTCACTTTTCTGTGAAGTGGGTTTAGATGCACTTAAACAACGTTAATAGCATAAGAGAACGGCTTCGATCACACTTTGCAAATATCAACACTAATTTGAAAATCTCTCAAGGTTTCCATTCATCATAAGGTCTTTTCATCGACCTTCTTTTAAGAGATTTGGTTCTAACAAACTTTCACGAGAAAATCATATCTCCCTTACCTCACTCTTCATGGAGTTTTCTTCCGCCTCTTCCTCAACGGCTGTCAGCTGAGACAGGGAGCCCTTTCTGTTCAGCTGAAACGCACAACACAAGGATACCTGCTGTCAGGTTCCTGGTCACCACCACCAGGATTTGGGCCTGACTGCATCTTCATGGGGGTAATATCTTTTTTGTGTGTGTGTCAGAGTCTCACTCTGTCACCCAGGCTGGAGTGCGGTGACACACTCAGGGTCACCACAGCCACGACCTGCTGGGCTCAGGCAATCCTTTCACCTCAGCCTCCCAAAATGCTGGGATTACATGCGTGAGCCACCACGCTGGGCTGGAGGTAATATCTTATTCACTTGATCCAAAACGCCCACTCACAGAGTAGCCTCTGGGTCCTGTGCCTCTCAGTTCAAAGGGATCTGAGCTCAAAAGGTCAAATAACCTGACTCAGTCAAACCCTAGGTCCTACAATTTGCACAACCCCCCGGGGAACTTCATGAAACAAAGAATGTGATTCTTTTTTCTCTCCTCCCTTTTCTTCTCCCTCTCCCTCTTTCTTTCTGCTAGGGGTTGCCCAGACTGGTCTCAAACTCCTGGGCTCAAGCAATCCTTCCGCCTTGGCCTCTCAAAGTGCTGGGATTATAGGCATTGAGTCTGCAATGAGCTGATTTTTTTTCGTAGGAAGGTAATTCAAAGGGTAGCTCAATCCACCTGTCTGTGGAATTTCACAAGCACAGCCTAAAGTAACTCAGGCATAAGCATTCTGGGTTGGGTCCAGAACAGACACACCCTGAGGATTTATATTCACAAGAAAACCACCTCAGGTGGAGTATTTCCACTTTTAAAAATTCCTTAAAAAGTGGAGTATTTCCACTTTTAAAAATTCCAGACAGATACCACAAGCTCTTCAAGTGAAAGACTCAACCCACTGACACTCTTGGGGAGCGGGAGGGAGCGGTGGGGCGGGGGGGAAGAGAAGAAACCAGATTCACCCAGAGCAACGCCCACCTTCCACTCAGGAACGTCCCTCCCTGCTACTCCACCCTCCTCGGATGCCACGGCTGACAGCTTCTCTCTTTCTCCTTCTGGTTGTTCTTGTTTCAAGTGCTGGTGAAGGTTTAGTACGGCGGCCTTCAAGTCCACTAACAGGTCATCTTTTTTCTGATTCAAATTCAGAATCTGCTCTTCCATTCCTTCGATTTCTCCCTGTGTTTAAAAAAAAAAAAAAAAGGTGTTTGCATTGTTTTGAAAAGTCTGAGACCTTTGCATGACCCTAGGAGCCTGCTGCCTTCGATACCAAGGATTTTCTATGTTGTTCGGTTTGCAAAGTCAGGAGTCAGGCTCTGGGACAGTGCAACTCCTCTCCATTCTGCTGATTTCCAAAGGTCCTGGGGAGGGTTTCTAAACTGTGGGATGCCTTAGCGGCACTGGAGACATCGTCAATCAGAATCTCCGGGCATTGAGCCAAAGTACAGGAACTTGTAACAAGCTTCATGGGTGAGTGGGGTATGCAGCCAGGGTCGGGGGCCGCTGCTCTTATGGCTAGCCACAGGACTCACAGAACCAGAGTCCATGGGCCAAGGCTGCACAGTCTGCACTCTAACAAATGCAGCACAAGTGCCTTCTGCAACCTTCCCATTGTCACACAGAAAACTAAAAATGCATGTCCCCAGGAACCATGGTCCCATGTCTCCCCAGGAAATTCTCACTCCTGGGCTCAAGTTTTCCTCCTGCCTCAGCCTCCAGAGTAGCTGGAACTACATAGGTATGCACCACCACATCAGGCTAATTTTTTGTAGAGACAGGGTCTTACTATGTTGCCTAGGCTGGTCTTAAACTTCTGAGCTTTAGTGATCCTCCTGCCTTGGCCTCCTGAAGTTTATACTTATAGGATTATAGGTATTAACTACTGTGCTTGGCCTCCTCAGGAAATTCTTAAGCATTTGGGGACCACGGAGAAAAAATAAGGTTAGAAATCTCATTCTTTTATTATTGCCTTTAAAATTCATTTGCTTTTTCTATAGTAAAAGCTTCCTACCAAATGAGAATAAACAAACAAATAAAGGTTCTGTGTAACTTACTTTGGGAATGATGGCTAGATGATCCCAAGTTTCATTACTCTTAACATATATAGTATTGATATGTACAAATAAAATTTGTTATACATGGTAGAAATGCAGACGCCCACCATCTGTCTAAGAGGAATATTGAATTAAATAATTCTGGAAGGATTAGCAGGTGCCAATAGTGTAGCATACTCCTCTCTGGCACCTCTAAGAGGTCCTGCAGTGAGTGCTGCCTCGGAAGCCAGCCTGCTCCTTTTTGGGAAACCTTTGTGTGTTTGAAATTCCTTTCTAATATTTTTCTGGAGTCTCTACTCATTTCTTCTTCTTTCTTCCTTCATTTCTTTCTTTCTGCCTTTCTATCCATCCATCCATCTTGCCATCTATCCATCCTACAGATATTCTTAGAACCATTAATTTTCCTACAGACAGAGAAACCAGTCTCCACCTACAAGGGTGAGTTTTGAAGTCCAGAGAAAGTGATTCATCCAAAGCTGTGGCTAGCAAGTGACAGAATCCAGACCTGGCTCTACATATACATTCCTGTAGCAGGACCCCTATTGTCTGAGGTCAAAATTCCTGTGATTGCTTTTGGAAAATAACAACTATCTGAATGAAATCTGAATTGGCTGTGGTTTGTGTTCCATTTCTAATAAACACTAAACTTTAGAGGTTCCATGCCTCCCAAGAAGACCAATACACAGTCACTAGAAGAACATTTAGAGAAACAGCAAGGTCTGCTGAGCTCCCAACATTATGGAGGGTCAGCAGGGCATGGAGCAGCCGTTCTCAAAGAAGCATCTGCAGACTTCAAAGGGAGGTGGTGGAGGGACCATTCGTGAGGTCAAGATCATTTTCATAATAATACTAAAATGCTATTTGCCTTTTACACTGTGTTGACATTTGCGCTGATGGCATGAAAGCAATGGTGGGTAAAACTACTGGCACCTTATATGACTCAAGGAAGGAACACTAACTGTATCAGTTGTTACTGAGCTCTTCATTTTGATGTATTTATAGCAAAAAAAAAAAAATTAAAGCCAGTTTCACTTAAGAAAGTCCTTGATAAAGACATGTGTCTTAGATCATTTGTGCTGCCATACCTGAATATCTGTGGTTGGGTAATATATAAAGAGCATAAATTTATTTCTTACAGTTCTGGAGACTGGGAAGTCCAAGGTCAAGGTGTTGGCTGATTTGGTGTCTAATGAGACTGCTCTCTGTTTTCAAGACAGCACTTTGCACAGTGCATCTTCCAGAGGGGAAGAATGCCCTGCCCTCACATGGCAGAAGGTGGAAGGGCACAAAGGGACAAGCTTTCTCCATCAAGCCCTTTTATGAGGTCCCTTAATCCAGTTCATAAGGGAGGAGCCCCCATGACTTAATCACCCCCCACAGGTCACGCCTCCTAATACTACTGGGCTGGGGAGTAAGTTTCAACATGAATTTTTGGAGGGGACAAAAACATTCAAACCAGAGCAACATGTATTTTTTAATATTCTCTGTGAAAAAAAATGGGAAGTATGCATAAAACACTTTAGCTGCATACCAAGGCACAATGCTTGAGGAAAAGTACTTTAGTTATTGTTTGAGTTGTGAGCTGAATTTCCCTTTTTGTCATATTTTTACTTGCAAAAAAGCCAGCTGATAAACTATACTTATATACATAAGTACAAAAAGATTTTTTCTGAAGAGATAGGTGCTAGCATTAATAAATATGATTTTAAGAAATATTGACTACTGAAATGTTTGGGAGGTCTGCATAACTCAGTGAAACATTATTTTCCAAATGAAGAAGCATGATATTATAAAAGCATGCATAGTTAGAAGATCCATTCAAAGTGCAAGACAGACCAATGGATTTTATTCTAAGAGTATGTCAAGTTAATCAAGATTCCATTTTACAACTAACCTGTGAATAATGTCCACTTGTTGGGTTTTAGCAGTTTCAAATAAAAATGTCCACAATTACTCAAAAGGGCTACTAAAATATTCCTCTCTTTTCCAAGCACATGTCTTGGAGAGGTTGGATTATCTTTATATATGTCAAACAAAACTACATGCCTCAACAGATGAGAATCTGTCTTCCATTAAACCAGACATTAAAGAGATTTACAAAAATAAGGCAATGTCATTCTTCTTACTAATTTTTGTCTTGGAAAATATAATTAATAAAAATGTTATTTCTGATCTAGTCTGGGCAATATAGTGAGACCCCATTTCTAAAAATAAAATAGTTATTTCTATTACATGTAGTGGGTTATCATTTAAAAACAAACTAAACATATTTTTACAATGCTGAGTTTTAATTGCTATATCAGTAGATATAACTCATAAAAACAAAAGCATCTGGTGGCCCCTGAACTTTTTAGCATGAAGTCTGACATTTTTCCAATATTGAGTCTTTAATACTGAGTCTACATTATTGATCTACCACTTAATAGCTGTGTCACCTTGGACCCTTCTGTATTCACTGTAGAGGTTTAATAACTTGCCCTAGGTCTCACAGTCAGCAAGTGGTGAAACCTTGCTTTGAGTATCTTATTCACTGCCTGCCTGCATCAACCTGAGTTTGAGACCAACCTGAGCAACATAGCAAGACCTCATCTCCACAGAAAAATATAAAAAATTAGCTGGATATGGTGGCTCATGCCTGTAGTCCCAGCTACTCAGGAGACTAGGCGAAAGGATCGCCTGAGCCCAAAAGGTTGAGGTCGCAGTGAGTCATGATCATGACACTGCTCTTCAGCCTGGGTGATAGAGTGAGACCCCGACTCAAAAAAAAAAAAAAGTTCTCCCTTAATGTAGGTGTGGCATCCCTGGCCCAGTTTCTAGGGTTAGGGCTGCCCGGGCTACAAACAGATACAGCTTCTCTTGATTAAACATCGGGTGCTACAGTTTCATCACTTTTTAGTTATCATTAAACAATTACTTATTTTATTAAACAGGAATAGAAAGTAAATACCACAGAAAATACCTTCAATTGGAAGAGAGAAGCAGACAATTACAGTGTACCACCCCAAAAGCCTCCAGAGATGCTAAAGTCTTAGTAAATGCTGAATGAACTGATGAACAAATGAAGGATACCTGTATGAGCGAAAGCAACATACCTGTACTTGTGGCAGGTTGGCAGCTTGCTCTGGTGACATATGTTCAAGGGAGAACTGAGCCGAATAATTATTTAGGATCTGTTTCAAATTTTCTATTTCTTCATCGCATTCATTAGTCTGTTTTATGACTACCTACAAAACAACCCCCCAAAAGAAGAGTCTTTATCATCATCTAAGGACTAGATTAATGAACTATTTTCACTGTCATCCCATCAGAAGTTCCAGGCAATGACAGCAAATAAGCAGCCTTCCAGATGTCCATAGGTCACATTCGTCTCAACAAAGGAACCACGTCTGCAAGGTGGCACCTGACCTTCTTGCTCTACAAGATGCCAGGGCACCTTGGGCAGTGCCTGGAGCACAAGTCTCATCAGACACACCCTTGCTCTAAAGTATTTCCCGTCGAGTGGGTTTATTCTGGAAGCATTTTATGGCATGTTAACATGAAGTTGTTAAGTTTTTATGAAATGACTGATAGGTCACACACGCCATATTAATACATATTCCAAGTGGGCTTTTCCACACAGAAAGAGACATGACTGATTTAGACTGGACAGAGCATGGGACTTGAGTGATGAGGGGTTTTCCTGGTCCAGACACATCCTTACCTGGTACCCTTGGGATCAGTGATGTACATTTGATGAGTAAGAGGTTAAGAGGTCAAGAGCAGTCTGGATTTGCAAAATAAAGCAAAACTAACTAGAGCATGTCTATATTTACTGCAGCACTACTTATAACAGCCAAAATATGGAAACAGCATATGCGCCCATCAACAGATGAATGGACAAAGAAAATGTATTATAATTCAGGAATAAAAAAGAATGTGCGGCAACATGGTTGGAACGGGGGACCATTATGTTTTGTGAAACAAGTCAAGCACAGAAAGACAAATATTGCACATTCTCATATGTGGGAGCTAAAACAGTGAACCTCATGAAGACAGATACATATTGGTGACGACCAGAGGATGGGAAGAAAAGGAGAGGGATGAAGCAGGGGAGAATGTACATGCATTTATTACCACTGAACTGTATGCGTAAAATGGCAAATTATATATGTATATTTTGTTTAAATAAAAAAAAAACTTTTTAAAACTAACCAGATCAGTACACTTGGAACCTAGTGTTATGAGAGAAGCAGAGCTCAGACCTATTTGTGGGTGAGATGATATGATCAAGTAAGATGAAAGATAAAGAAATGGGCTTCAAATGAAAAGTCTAGATACTTCCTTGGTATACTTCATAAGGAGGCAAAATGCCTCATAAAACTGCAAGTTCTTAGCCAACACAGAACGCTTCCTTGTATTTTCTTCAATATTTAACTATAGTTTTAGCTGCAGGCTGGACACGAAGAACTATGTTCACTGCACACACCTGTTTTCCAGCCCTCGGTAATGAATTACATCTCCCTACTCCGCACGGAAGTAATTTTCTTGCTTGCACAATGAGTGCACTTATAAACTCTGAAGTCGGAATTAAAGAAACTGTATCCTATTCTAGTGATTTTCATGACCACTGGTATACTCAGCTTTGAGATAAATGAGGGATGTCTGATTTCCACCAACGCAGTAAGATGGAAAATTTCAGCAGCACAGTTTGATACCTAATTTGGCACAAAATATAATTTCCTCTTCTATTTCCCCCCCACTTTCGTGTGGTGAAGGAGCTACTCTACAGCGAAGTTAGGACTGTTATTTTCTTTTCCTGACCAGGAGACCAATAAAGCACAAAAAGATTACAAATAATAGATCAAATTTTACACTTTTTCCCTTCTTTTTATATTATTAAAAAAATAGTACATCGAGTGCTAGATCTTTTTTCTCTCTGTGGGTGTTAGGGAATGACGTCAGTTGATCAGTAGCAGACCAGAGAGATTGTATGAGTTAAGATTCAAACCAGAGAGTAACATATCCTCAAACTTTTGGAGAAGAGAGTGGCCACAGAAATGTGAATGAAATTTAAAAAGGAATAAGATATAGCAGTTTTAGCCAGGCACAGTGGCTCATGCCTATAACCCTAGCACTTTAGGAGGTCAAGGTGGAAGGACTGCTTGGGGCCAGGAGTTCAAGACCAGCCTGAGCAGCATAGTAAGACTCTGTATCTTTTTATTAAAAAAAAAAGTAGATTGCTTCTTACAAGCAGGTGGCGGTAATGAAGGAAGAAAAATAATCACTTCTCTAAAAGGACCCATCTAATCAGGAAAGACAGGTTGTAAGATGTCAACAGAGAAGGTTGAAAATTTGTGAGATTTAAGTCTCTTTCAACAACTTTCTGTTCTTGTGAGAGTGTTTATTGTTTTTGTTTTTTAAGAGATGGTGTTGCCCAGGCTGGACTCAAACTCCTGGGCTCAAGCGATCCTCCCATCTCAGCCTCCTGAGTAGCTGGGATATAGGCCCACACGAGGTTCAAGTAGTTGTTGATCTAGGAATACAAACTAAAGAAAAAGGTAATTTCTCACAAATGACGATTCCTGACTTGAGACTGGCGATCCAACAAAACCTAGCAACAACAAAAACTCTCTAGGAAGAAGTTAAGATAATGGTTAGAAGGAGGAGACCCTCAATATAGAGAAAAGATGGCAGGTGCTTAGAAACTCAAATTCTTGTTCTATTTGTACACAAATTAACCTTTACACAAGTTAACTGTGGTCTTTCAGCAAGTCATTTAACCTGCTGACTAGTGTCCTTCTCTGTGTAAATAAAGATGCTGAAGTCCTTACACCACCTACATCACGTGTGTGAGAATAAAGGAGATGATCATCAGGGAAGTGACGGAAATGGATAAAGAGATTAATAAGGGGATGGTGACATCACAGATCTGCTGGCCTCAAGAGGTTGCAAGTGCCTTGTTCAGGTTTAGGTCTCTTCGCATAGCATTTCACCTATGCAGGTCTTTAATGAGCTGTAGAATGAAATTCAATAGACCATAACTGTGCTTTAATGCATTCAATTCTAAAGAACAAGGGGAAGAACTGGGAAAAATAGCCTTGGCTCCATTTTTCCAAGAAGATATGCTTTTTAAAAAAATATATCAAATGTCACTTCCTGGATAACAAATAATCTCAATTAAAACTGAAATCAAAACTAGCTTTTGCTGAACATTTTCATGTACTAAGTTGGCTGTCCTCATAAACCGCTTACCTTTAATAACTCATTTTGTTCCTGAGTCACATTTTCCAACAGTTTTATGTCTTGTAAGAGCTGATTTGTCCGCTGAAACACAGGCAAAGGGTTCATTTTCATCTGGGGCAACCTCAGTTCCACTTGGTAAGAGACTATCTCAGCAATGGTTTTCTTCATGGGATGGATATTTTCAAGTATGACCTTAATTATATAAGAGAAGCATGTTATATATATTTTTTAAATGGCCACTGCTAAGTTTAATTATTCAGAATTAAAATACTGTTTAATTTAGCCTTCACATTTTCAATTTTTAAAAGATTTCCTTAGCTCAGATTGAAAAGAACTATTATATCACTTGTAATCTGGTAATTAAAGATTTCAGAGGAAAAAAATGCCTGGGGCAAGAGTGACTGACCAGAACTAAATTAATGCATTTGGATGACTCTTTCCTTCCTCCTCTGTCCCTTCTCTCTGCAGACTGTTGTTTTGCTGTGTTTTGTCACCAGGCACCTAGCACAGAGCTTCCCATAGAGTGAGCCTTCAAGAAATGCTTAACTGGACAGAAGTGTCCTGCCAAATTTCATAAGTCCTGGGAGTATAAGGATATCTTGCTTTAATAATACCTTATTCATAGAGATCTGGATTTCCATAACCGATAAGCTAGAAATATATTACTCATTTTATTAAGTAGGATTCATATATTTCATTTAATCCTCACAACAACCCTAAGCATTAAGAATCATTCCTACCACAGCACAGGTAAGAAAACTGGGTTCATAGAAGTTGGAAGATTCAGGTAAGTTTAGAACAGGGTGCCCAACCTTTTGGCTCCCCTGGGCCACATCAAGCAAAGATAAATTGTCTTGGGCCACACAAAAATTATATAATATAGTTAGTGTATATGCACAGTAAGATTTCTTTTATGTTTTTATATTTTTTATTATAAAGCTTAGAAAATTGAGAATAATATAAAACTAGTGGGAAATCTGACTTTGTTTTTGTAAAACTAATTTTTCAATGTCTGGTTCAATGGAAGTAGTCACAATTTTTAGTGAGTTCTCAAGGGGTTTGTCAGAAATGTTTGTTCAAATTTTGCTCTTCATGTGCTTCATAATTGAAAACAGTCGCTCACAAATGTATATGCTACCAAACAGCGATGTCATGAATAAGGCTAGTGATTGTGAAGTGAGGTATTTTTCTTTATGAAGACAGGTCTTTTAATAATCCAATAAAGAGACATAGTCAAACTTTTCTTTCAGTTGAATGTCTGATTGCAACTCTATGCATTCCACTTGAAAATTTGCAGGTAAAATATTAATGTCTACTGAAAATGATATAGCAAATATAGCAAAATAGTGATTAGTTTGCTGGAAATTTTGAAATCTGGTTTCAAATTCCTGTGTTAAGACAAAAAGCAAAGCTGCGTATTTTTGGCAGTTCACAGGACTATGTTTAGCCAATGTAACAAAATGTGTTAAATTATTTTCCATAATTTGAGCTTGTCATAATTTAAGTGCAGTATCACTTTGGAACTATGTATGTGATCATGAAGAAAATAAACGCTAAAAGACACATGATGTTAAAAGATTATGTGGGGCCACATTACTAGATGTCTTGGGCCACATGTGGCCTGTCGGCCGTGTGTTGGACATTCCTGGGTTAGAGTGTGAGAGGCAAGGCTAGTATTAAAACCCAGACCTGCGTGATTCTAACCCACATGTTTAAGGTCAGGAGTTCAAGACCAGCATGGGAAAGATAGTGAGAACTGGTCTCTACAAAAATTCAAAAAATAAACCAGGCATGGTGGTGCACGCCTGTAGTCCCAGCATGGGTGACAGAGTGAGACCTCGACTCAAAATAAAAAGACATAATAAGTATTATGAGAAAGCACTTTTAATGATGATTCATACTTACCTCCCCATGTTTAAGATGTTCTTCAGGTGAAAAATCAAATATTTCTTTGGATAACAGGATAGTTTTGATTTTTGAAACTTTTTTCTCCATTGATTTTACTTCGGACTCAATAGCAACCACATCCTAGAATTTCAGAAACAAAAACACTCATGTGATATATGTTGTATATCAGTAATCTATAAAACACAACTCATTTTTATTATTTATTCTTATTTAGTCAAAGAATGTTTGCTGCTTATACCTCATTAAAGCTAACCAAACACCTACAGATAGATAATGTTCACGGTTTTCAATAAAAATGTTACTCCATTAATAGCATAAAATACTACAAAGCACATGGCTTATATATCTTGTTGAATTAAAGATCATCATAGGGCCAGTTGCAAATTGCTCATGAGAACAAAGGTAGTATGCAACCAAACCAATTTTTAAAATAAACTCTTTAAATTTATCTTTGGAATGTGTTTAAACACTTGAATACAAGTGGGTCTGATAGTTTAAAAACTCCCACCACTTTCAGTAAAATGATACAGTCACCCTTGGGAAACTAACTCACAGGAGCTGGAAAATTGACAGGAGTTTCCTGCCAGCCTTCTAACACAATGCTGCCAAGCAGAGGGTCACTGAATTACTTTATAACCTACTCAGATTAATTTTAACAATAGATCATTTGTCCAGTAGTTATTTGCTTATTAACATCAACCTCCAAAACCTGGCCAAGAACCTTAAAATGAAAATGCTGCAAAAATAAATTAAAATAATCTGTTAAAATACTGAAGTTCCTAAAACCTAAAAGAGTCTTCAGGCCTTTACTTTAGAGCTCACAGCAGAAACACTGTGGCAATAATGAAGCAGAATACACAAAGGGCGACCCCAAAAAATCTGGAATTGTCTTTTGGAGGGCGGGTTCCTCATAGTACAGACTCCCCCCGCTAGGTAAATGTTCTAGGAACTCATTGGCATCAGTGTTCTAGCTAGCATTGTGAGAGGCTACGTTCAGCTTCAGTGAATTTATTTTGTGGAGATTCTTTCAACTTGTTTGCCCATCTCATGATGGGTGATTTATGAGTGCACCTGCCCGCACTGCACTGAGTGTTCACCAGTTTTTGACCCAAAATGCCATGATCCCCATGCCCCACCCTCCCTATTCACCTGATCTTGCCCCGGAGTTTTTGTTTCACCAGATGAAAAAAGTCCTTAAAGGGAAACGTTTTGCCAATACAAAAGAGGTGAAACAAAAAAAATGGCAGAAGCACTAAAAGCCGTCAAAATTGACGAGTTCAAAAACAGTTTCCAGCAGTGGAAAAAGCATCTCAATAGGTGTATTGTATCAAATGAAGAGTACTTTGAAGGTAACTGTATTTAGTCTTACATGTTTAACGTAAGAATAAATACACAATTTTCTATAAATAAATTCCAGGTTTTTTGGGTCCCCCTCATACAATAATATCCTCAAATTATGAGGATAAGTTAAGTGACACTGATATTATTTTTTGTACCTACTATTTAGGAAGGTATTTTAGGGTAATTTTCATCAACAATTGTAGAAGCATTAAAAACTTTGGGCCAGGCTCGGTGACTCAGCCTGTAATCCCAGGACATTGGGAGGACAAGGCGAGTAGACTGCCTGAGCCCACGGGCTTGAGACCCGCCTGGGTAACTTGGTGAGACTTCGTCTCTACAGTAAATCAAAAAGTAGCCTGGCGTGGTAGCATGCGCCTGTAGTTCTGGCTACTTGGAAGTCTGAGCGGAAGGATCGCCGGAGACCAGCAGGTCGAGGCTGCGGTGGCCAGGAGCAGTCACTGCACTCCAGTCTAGGTGACAGAGTGAGACTCCAACTCAAAAATAAATAAACAAATAAAAACTTTGGAATAAGCTTCAGTAAACAAGAATATTTACTTTAACAATTATTATTCCCTGAAGATACACCGATGTGATATAGGAACCGTAACTGAGAAACAAAAGGTAAGTAACCAAGAATTGTAATTGCTTTTACTATATGACTCTATCCTTAAATAAATGCTTCACACTTCTCAAGTAAAAATTAAAAAGTCCAGGGGCTAGCATCCAGCAACCCCTCAGTAAACATTTGCTGTTGGTGAATAAAGACTTGGGAGGCAACTTGTTTTAATTCTCTCTTTCTTAACCAGTGCTTTTAAATCAATAATATCTCTCTCCAATAAAGAGAAAACATTGAGGTTATTGGATCAGAGTTCTTCACTCTCTAAACAGGCCACTTCTGGATTAACAGGGAGATGCTTTTTGTTGTAGTTGTACTACAGGCGGCAAAGTTAAATAAAATATAGCTCGAGAAAAAAGGACATCAGTGAAAATGTCACATCAATGTGTTTTCTCATTGGTTAGTCATATAGGACTTGATTACTTAGTATAATTCTCAATGACTAAATGAGATACAAACTAAGAATAAGAAATCACATCATCAAACTTACATCAGCCATTCGCTGAATCTGTGGAAGACTTTCTATTATTTTTTGTTGTAAAGCTGTCACTTGATTACTTAACTCTTGTATGGACTCTGTCAAGTCATCTGTTTCAAAAATTACTGACAAGTCTTCTAGATCCGTAAAAATTGAATGTAAAAGATTGTGCTTCTGTTCTGAATCTTCCAAGGCCATCTAGGTAAGTAAGGAAAGAGAGAGAGAGAGAAAAACATCAAGATACTGAAAAAGTCGATTACAATTTAAATCAGAGAAAATTGAAATTTGTTTCAATATTTTAAACTTCAGGTCATTTCCAGTTTCATAATGAAAACACTGGAACATTCTATTGCCAATGGAGGACTTCAGAGTGTCTGTGATATCGCAATGCAATAAGAAATATATATATATATATATATATATTTTTCTTTCTTTCTTTCTTTCTTTTATTTGGGTCATCATCTCCACAAAGCTTCTAAAACCTTTCAAATTTTCTTAGTGATGGGGTGAGAGAAGCATCTTTTGTTATTCATAATAAACACCTTTCAAACATGTATTAACTTTCTTTCTTTCTTTTTTTTTTTTTTTTTGAGTTGGAGTCTCACTCTGCCTCCCAGGCTGGAGTGCACTGGCAGGCTCACAGCCACAGGAGCCTTGATCTGCTGGGCTCAGGTGATCCTTCTGCCTCAGCCTTCGAAGTAGCTGGAACTACAGGCATGCGCCACCACGCCCAGTTAATTTTCTGATTTATTGTAGAGATGAGGTCTCACCAAGTTGCCCAGGCTGGTCTCGAACCCCTAGACTCAGGCAATCCTCTTGCCTCGGCCTCCCAAAGTGCTGGGATTACAGGCTTGAGCCACCACACACGGCCCAACCATGTATTAACTTTCAAACTTAAGATTTCCAAATAGCTCAGCCAATGAAAATGTTAAGCCTCCTAATGTAGTCTTCAGGTAATTTCATTAAAAAAAAATTCTATGGGAAAGAACACCTATGTAGGCAACTAGAATTCTAATCAGAAGTCACTAATATTAATTAGGCTATTCAGGATCTTATATTGGTCTTATTTAAAATCCTTGTAGGAGAAAACTTTTAGAAAAACAAAACTTAAAACTAATACTAATTATTAATAATGCCATTTACATCAAAAACCTTAAATACTTACAGATAATCTTAACAATATACATGTGTAAGAAGTATATACTGAAAGCTACAAAACACTGGTAAGATAAATTAAAACTCAAAATAAATAAAAAGATACATCATGTTCCTGAATCAAATAGTTAATATGGTTGAGATGTTCATTCTCCCCAAATTGATCTAAAAATGTAATGCAATCCTACCCAAAATTCTAACAGTCCTCTGTATAGAAATTGATAAGCTGATTCCGATTTATATGGCAATGCAAAAGACCTAGATTAGCCAAAAAAAATTTGAACAAGAACAAAGTTGTAGAACTTATGCTACGGATTTTAAGACTTACTATAAGGTTACAGTAATCAAGACTGTCTTATTGGTGAAAGAACAGACACATATAGATCAATAGAACAGAAGCAAGAGCCCAGAAATAGACCCACATGTATGAGGTCAAATGATTTTCAACAAGGTGCCAAAGTAATTCGGTGGTGAGAGCCTGTTCGATAAATGACGCTAGAGCAATTGGATATCCCTATGGAAAGAAAAGAACTTCAATCCTTGATTCATACTTTACACAACAATTAACATGAAATGACTCACAGACCTAAGAATAAAAGTTAAAACTATTACATTTCTGGAAAAAAACTAGAAGGAACTCTTTGTAACCTTGGGTTATGTAAAAATATCTTAGAAAACAGCACAAAAGAATAATTTATAAAAGAAAATATTAATCAATTGGACTTTGTCAAATTAATAACAATTGCTCCCTAAAAGACAGTGTTTAAGATAATAAAAAGACAAGCCACAGACTAGAAGAAAATATTTGTAAACTATACATGACAAAGGAATGGTTTTCAGAATGTTTTGGAACACAAACAACCCAATTAAAAACTGGACAAAAAAGAAATTGAACAATACTTCACAAAGGAAGTGTCCAAATGACAAATAAGGACATGAATAAATGCTCAAGATCATCATTAGAGAAATTCCATTTAAGCCACAATGAACTCTTGACTACAAGTCACCAAAGTGGCTAAAAACTAAAAGACAGACAAGAGTAAGTGCTGTTGAAAATATGGAGTAGCCAGGCTCAGTGGCTCAGCCTGTAATCCCATGCTTTGGGAGGCTGAGGTGAGTGGACTGCCTGAGCCTGTGGGCTCGAAACCTGCCTGGGCAACTTGGCGAGACCTCATCTCTACAATAAATCAAAAAATTAGCCAGGCGTGGTAGCGCACGCCTGTAGTTCCAGCTACTTGGAAGGCTGAGGCGGAAGGATCGCCGGAGCCCAGCAGGTCGAGGCTGCAGTGGCCGGGAGCGGCCACTGCCCTGCAGTCTGGGCGACAGAGTGAGACTCCAACTCAAAAAAAAAAAAAGAAAGAAAGAAAGAAAATATGGAGCAACTGGAATTCACATTGCTAGTGAGAATAAAAAATGGCACAGCCATATAATCAGCTCCCTTGAATATAGTTGGGACTTACTGACTTAATTATAATAAAACATGGTGGAAGTGATGAAAGGTCACTTCCAAGATTAGACAAAAAGACTGCGATTTCTGTCTTGGGAGCACTCTGTCACTCTCTTTTAGATTGTTTATGCCAAAGGAGAAGCCCACGTGACAATACACGGATCTTCCAAGTCCTGCCATCAGCCACATGGGTGAGCTTGGAAGTGGATCCCATCTCTCCCCTTACCCAAGTGGAGCCTTCAAATGAGCCCACAATCTTTGCTGACATCTTGACTACATTCTCATGACAGACCTGAAGCCAGAACTAAGCCATGCCCGAATTCCTGACCTACAAAAACTAAGATGATAAATGTTTGTTGTTTTAAGTTGCTAACTTCTAGCTGTGTGCAGTGGCTTATGCCTTTACCCTAGAGTTTTGGGAGACCAAATAGAGAAAATTGCTTGAGGCCAGGAGCTCAAGACCAACCTGGGCAAAACAGTAAGACCTTGTCTCTACAAGGTCTCTACAAATATATATATATACACACACACATACATACATACATACATACACACACAAATGTGTGTGTGTGTGTGTGTGTGTGTGTGAAAGCAGGATTTATTAAGAGGACAGAAAAGCTCCCACAGTGGGAGGGGACCTGAGGAGGTTGCCTACAAAAATATTTTAAAAGCACCTGTAGTCCCAGCTACATGGGAGGCTGAGGTGGGAGGATCACTTAAGCCCAGGAGTTCGAGGCTGCAGTGAGCTGTAATTACACTATTGCACTCCAGCCTGAGTGACAGAGAAAGAATTTGTCTCAAATTTTTTTAAAAAGCTGCCAACTTTTAAAGTTATTTGTGAAACAGCTATGGCTAATATGTAGCTCAAAATGAGAAACAACCCAAATATCTGTGATCTGGTAAAAGGATAAACAAACTGCTATTTCTGTAAATGGGACACTACTTGGAGCCATCAAAGAGTGAACTACAAGCCAGGCTTGGTGGCTCAGCCTGTAATCCCATGCCTTTGGGAGGCTGAGGTGAGTGGATTGCCTGAGCCCACGGGTTCGAAACCTGCCTGGGCAACTTGGCGAGACCGCATCTCTATAATAAATCAAAATGAGCCGGGCGTGATAGTGCGTGCCTGTAGTTCCAGCTACTTGGAAGGCTGAGGTGGAAGGATGGCCGGAGCCCAGCAGGTCGAGGCTGCAGTGGCCAGGAGCGGCCACTGCACTCCAGTCTGGGCGACAGAGTGAGACTCCAACTCAAAAAAAAAAAGAGTAAACTACATGTCGATAAATGTAACAACCTGGATGAATCTCAAAAGTATTATACTGGAGTGGGTATAGTGGCTCACACCTATAATCCTAGCACTCTGGGAGGCTGAGGTGAGAAGACTGCTTTAGCACAGGAGTTTGAGACCAGCCTGGGAAACATAAAGAAACCTCATCTCTTTACAAAATATAAAATTATATGAGTGTAGCAGAGTGTGCCTGCAGTCTCAGTTACTTGGAAGGAACATCTGAGTACAGGAGAACGAGGCTATGGTGAGCCATGATGATGCCACCGCACTCCTGCATGGGTGACAGAATGAGACCCCACATTATGCTAAATGAAAGAAGTTACACACAAAAAAAGACATGTACTTGATTCTAGAAAAGGCACAACTATTGTAATAGACAGCAGTGAGTGATCACGTAGGGTGAAAAGAAATCGACAGCAAAGGGGCATGCAGACCCTTCTTGGGATGATGGGATTGTTTTTCATATTGATGTTGGGGGTAATTATGCAACTGCACTTTATCAAAGCCCACCTGTCTGCACACTTAAAATGGGTGTAATTTTACTCCATGTAAATTATACCTCAATGAAGTTGATTACAAAACAAATTAAGTTCCTATTTTTTATGGCAAGTTATGTTTCAATGATTCTTAATTACAACAGGAGTGGTTGTGAAATCATCTTTAGGTTACAAAGACCTGTCTTAATGAATGCAATCCAGGTAGAAGGGTATAGTGCAATTACAACAAACACTCAAAGATTAGTTGTGAGTTCTGACACTTTTCTTTAAAAGTCATTTTAAAAAGTAATACCCAACAATGCTAGAAAGTGGAAAAGAGCATTCTAAAAGTAGAACTATTTTCATTTTAGGAACAAAATGGGGATTTCACATAGGAATAGTTATTGGGACTAGTTAGCCTTCCCATTGGGAGAGTAGGATACATTTTGTGGGGAATAAACCCACATCTTCCCTTATCTCAACTCAGGTCTGGCTCATAAACAAATTCCAATAACTCAGAACGTCTTGAACAGCTTGAGAGATGCTTTTGCCTTTTTTATATTTGTATCAGTAGAAGGTAGCAAAACCCAGCTGCTTTTACCTGAGTTCACTTTTGTACAGTATTTTTTTTCTAACTCATAATAAGCATCCTTTCTCCAACTTGGCAAAGTCCTAAAAAATGGTGACTTATGCAGGTGATTAAAAATAAAAAGTTGGCCAGGCATGGTGGCTCACGCCTATAATCCTAGCACTTTGGGAGGTCAGGGTGAGAGGATCACTTGAGCCCAGGAGTTTGAGACCAGCCTAGGCAACATAGCAAGACCTCGTCTCTAAAAAAAAAAAAACAACTAAAAAATTAGCCAGGCATGGTAGCACAAACCTTTAGTCCCAGTTACTTGGGAGGCTGAGCCCAGAAGGTGGAAGCTGCAATGAGCTGTGGTCGTGCAATTGCCCTCCAGCCTGGGTGACAGAGTAAGAACCCGACTCAAAAAAATAAAATAAAATGAATAAAATATGGGCTGGTCACAGTGGCTTATGCCTGTAATCCCAGCACTTTGAGAGGCTGAGGCAGGAGGATTGCTTGAATCCAGAAGTTTAAGACCAGCCTCAGCAACATAATAAGAACCCATCTCAGCTGGGCTTGATGACCCACGCCTGTAATCACAGCACTTTGGGAGGCCGAGGGGAGAGGATTGTCTGAGCCCATGCATTCGAGACCAGCCTGGGCAACTTGGCAAGACCTTGTCTCTACAATAAATCAAAAAACTAGCTGTGTGTGGTGGCACGCACCTGTGGTTCCAGCTATTTAGAAGTCTAAGGCGGAAGGATCTCCTGAGCACAGCAGGCAGAGGCTGCGGTGACTATAAGCGTGCCATTGCACTCCAGCCTGGGTGACAGAGTGAGACTGACTCAAAAAAAAAAAAAAAAAAAAAAATCCATCTCTCTTTTTTTTTAAATAAAAAAAAAAAAACATAAATAAATAGATGACTTTGGGGATGTGAGAAGCCAACTCAAATGAAAGCAGCAAAAGAAATCACAAGCAAGGGGAAGAAAAAAAGAAAAGAAAAAAATGGGTGAAAATGCAGTATTTTTACAACTGCTACCACAGGAAAAAAAAATGTGCCAAGATATCACAAACATTGGGAACTTATGAAGCCAGCAGCTCCCTTAGGAACACACTGTGCTATTCTAAAGACATAAAAAGGAGCTGAATCATCTTTGAAGTCTGATTCTGTAAAAAGTGTTTAAGCTTTTTCCTAAGGGATTCTTTCTCATGGTAGAGTAACATAAGTGAAGGCAACAATGCCTTCATGAAAAAACTTCAGTCAGTGCTCAGCACCTAGAAGATCTGTTGCAGTCATGGCCCCAAGTAGGAAGACATTTTCACCAGTTCTGTCTTTGTAGGCTAGCATGGAGACACGGGGAACCTGGGTTTTACCAGAAAGGATAGGAAATTTGAAATCATGGCATCTTAGAAATGGAAGGAAGCTGAGCATAGTGGCTCACGCCTATAATCCCAGCACTTTGAGAGGCCAAGGATTGCCTGAGGCCAGGGGTTCGAGACCAGTCTGGGCAACTGCGCAAGACATCATCTCTATAATAAATCAAAAAATTAGTGGGGTGTGGTGGCTACTTATTCTAGCTACTTGGAAGGCTGAGGCAGAAGGCTGAGGCAGAAGGCTCACCAGAGCCCAACAGGTAGAGCCTGTGGTAGCCGTGATCGTGCCACTGCATTCCAGCCTGGGCGACAGAGTGAGACTCTGACTCAAAAAAAGAAAACAAACAAAAAAACTGGAAGGAACCATGGATTCGTTTGCTTGCTGTAGAACTAATGACCATAAACATAACAGCTTAAAACAAAGTTACTATCTCATAATGCCCATTGGTCAGGAGTCCAGGCAGAGTCCTCCACAGTCAACAGGCAGGCTGCAGTCAAGATTTCATCTGGAGCCTGGGGTTCTCCTCCAAGTTCATGCAGGTTATTGGGAGAATTCAGTTACAGGACTGAGGTCCCATATTCTCATTGGCTGTTGGTGGCTCTCCCAGTTTCTAGAAGTTACACTTGGGTCCTAACTCCATGGCCCTCTCTCAATATGGTGTCTTCCTTTTTCAGGTCAGCAGGAGAATCTCTCATACTCTACTAAGGTTGAGTAGCCCTTACCTGAAATGCTTGGGGCCAGAAGTGTTTTGGATTTTGGATTTTCTCAAATTTGGAATATATGTTATTATACTTACTGGTTAAGTATCCCAAGTCTGAAAATCCAAAAACCTGCAATAGGGAGTCTTGCAATCATGCAGTCATGCATTTATGGGAAGAAAGGAATCATCAGGTTATCCATTCATTCTTATGGCAGTGATGATTCCATCACCTTAGCCCTGTAATGTCACCTCATCAAAGCAGCAACTAACCCATCCCATTCATATTCCTGTCCACATTCAAAGGGAAGGGGATTTAATCAGGGTGTGTACACCACGGGACAAGAATACTGGGGGCTGTTTAGAATTCTGTGGACCAAAAGCATCAGCACCATCCAGTGCGACTTTCTTACTTCATAGGTAGGTGGGAGACACTGAGGCCCATGGAAGCCAGAAAAGTTGTCTAAGAAGTCATGATATAGTTGTCAGGACAGAAAGAACTAGCTTTCAGTCTCCAAAAAATCCCAGCCTAGTGCCTGCCACTTGTTCAAGTTTCCTTCTGCCATGGGTATAGTTAGAGGTAAGACTGTACTTCAGGAAAGAAGGGGGGGGAAAGTAGCATGGTGATTAGCTAAGCCACTAATCAACATGTCGATTCTATGACTGGCAGAAAATCTGGAAAGAACACTTACCTGGAGGGTGCTAGCATAGTGACTCAGAGTCCTTGAAGAGTCATAGTCAGCAGGATTGGCCAGCAAGCGACTGGTATTTTCTATCCAAGCCTCAGTGCTCTTCAAAAGATCGCTGTATTCCTCCATCTTGACTGTGGCCTGTGAAAGAGATGGGGTACCGAACTTAGTCCAATGCCTCCTACTGGAGATGAATGATTCCTGAGTGAAGAGTTAGTTGGTGCTAGTGAGTGGTATGTCAGGTCTCGCAAGTCTCTGCTCCCCGTGACTGGGACCACTTGCCCACCCGCTCCAGGTTACGATCCTTCTGACTTTAAGACTAATCCTGACCACAGGTGGAAAGGACATAAGAAGCTCTACTCAACGCGAGGGGTTCCAGGATGGCCTTGCAACTTCTGAAACAGGACTTGGACTTTGTCTTCCTGTTCAGGACCCTGCTTTACAGTTCTTCTAAGACTACGATGCTGCCTCGCTCTTGCTAGATCACATGCACAACTCACCTGACCATGGTTCCTATTTGGAATGGGCTAGAGAGAGCATCTTGTTCCCAAAGGACAGTCTTTCTCATCGCTGTCTCTCTGGATTCTTGAGACTGTCCTCAATTCCCATGACTGGTCTTCATCTACCTTTGGGAAGCCTGGACTTCCCACCAGCTTACCTGGACTCCTGCTGTGGTCTGACTTCGGGGTCCTTGGTTCTGCCTGTCCAATCACACTTTCTGTTTGCACGAGCATTAAAATTTGTGCCCACATGAGCCTACCATGTGACTCTAGCTTCTTCAAGTCCTATAGAAACTGGCAATTCAAGGGAGACTGGCTACCTCTCAATGTATTTTTTAGTTTGGTTTTCAACCCATCTCAATACCACCACATGCTGTACAGCCTTCATGTGTCACAGGCATACCTTATTTAGCTGTGAGGTTCTAGATTCTGCTCTCTGTGACATTTGTTGATACTGCTGGAAAGGAATCATCAAGTTATCCATCCATTCTTGAGCCTGGCCTGGGTCCTGTTCAACAACGTCCTGAACTTCAGAATCCAGCTCATTTAGCTTGGAATGCCAGAGATCTAGCTCATCCCACATTTTCTGGAAAAAGAAATCGGAAGTCAATTTGAATGAAGACATCATAGTCTATGGTGGTAATTCCTAGTTTACACATGGTAAATGCTATCAAAACATCACAGAAACAACACCACAGGGATAGTTACTACTTTATACCCAGCAACCATTTGTACTCTAAACTGAAAAATATTTTTCCTGATCTCTCTTAACTGTAATTGTGTTCGCTTCAGTATAAATTGACTGTAGGGGAACAGAAAGACCTGGACATTCTAGAGATGAATGGCATGGACAATACAGCTCTCATCTTTCAAGAGAGATGAGCAAAACATTCTGCTTAAAAAGGTCTTGAGGAAACACTTAAACATTCTGCTTAAAAAGGTCTTGAGCCTATTTAGACCAGTAAATTCATGTACTTAACATAGAATACAATTTTATTAAGTGTAATAAAACTAAAACTAGCCAAATAAAAATATCTGCTGACTTGGGATGAATGTGGGCAGCTCTAGCCACATGTTTTAGTGACAATTGCTTTTGGTTCAAGAAACCAATAGGTTGGATTCGAATCTGAACTTGTCTGGGCAGAAGAAAAACATCAAAGGTAAAATACTGAATTATTTAATATTCACTTAAGAACATAATTTTGAGAAATAGGAAAATCTGACTGGTTAAATTAGGTTCCTCTTCTTCAGAGGCCAAGATTTTGTCCAGGAGTGGGCCATATTCTGACCTATTTTAAAAGTTCAGGATCTCTTGAGCCTAGGAGTTCAAGGCTACAGTAAGCTATGATTATGCCACTGTACTCTAGCCTGGGCAACAGAGAGCCCTGACATACCACTCACTAAAAACACAACAAAAGTCCTCAAACTATACTAGAATATTTCCTTAAAATGTAGACTAGCATAAGAACCTTTTCATATGCAAGGGTTTACTTGGCATAATATTATGTTTACGTACAATTTTACCTACAATTTTATTTCCTAAGACATTTTACAAGGGAAATAGATTTAGAACTTCCTTTCTTTTTAAATCTTGGCAGTCTAAAAAAAGCTGTCAATACTTTTCACATCCTATGGAATTATTTCTCATATCAGTCTTCCCAAGATAAGACTCACACTCTCCTTTACTTGTGAAAATGCTAGCTCACAATCAGAGGCTCTCTGAGTTGGGGCATATGCCCACCAAGAAAAACTGAGAACGATTTTTTTTTCCGAGTCAGGTCTTACTCTGCTACCCGGGCTGGAGTGCAGTGACACAATCATGGTTCACTGCAGCCTCGACCTCCTGGGTTCAAGCAATCCTCCTGACTCAGCTTCCTGTGTAGCTGGGTCTATAGGTGGGCACCACCACACCTGGCCAATTTTTTTTGTAGAGATGAGATCTCTCTTTGTTACCCAGTCTGGTCTCCAACTCCTGGGCTCAAGCAATCCTTTTACTTTGGCCTCCCAGAGTGCTGGGATTACAGGACAAGTATAAGCCACCATACCCAGGCAAGAACAACGATTTTTTTTTGTTTTTTGAGTTGGAGTCTCACTCTGTCACCCAGGTTGGAGTGCAGTGGCACATTCATGGCTACTGCAGATTCGCACTGCTAGGTTTGGGCAATACTTCCGCCTCAGCCTTCCAAGTAGCTGGAACTATAGGCACACACCACGATGCATGGCTAATTTTTTTAAAAAATTATTTATTGTAGAGACGAGGCCTCACCATGTTGCCTGGCTGGTCTTGAACCTGTGGGCTCAGGCAAATCTCTCACCTCTGCCTCCCAAAGTGCTGGGATTAGTCACCAGGCCCAGCCCAAGAATAACTGTTCAATGCAACATTCTCTATTAAACCTCTGGAGGTGACATCCTTGTGGATCATCTGGTTTAGGGTCTCTGTGCTTCAGAGTAATCCAAAGGGCTCACCTTGTGGTGACTGACGAACAGGGGAAGGAGCACGTCAGAAATACGCAATGCTGAAGGGAGTTAAAGGAGGTTGTTACCTTTTGAATTTCTTGCGCTGTCTCAATATTTTTGCTTTTCTGCTGCAACATCTTTTCAACATTTTGAAGGCCATTGTTAATTTCTTCTATTTTTCGACTCATTGTGTATGAAGGTGAGCTTTTCAAGACCTCATGGCTAATCTGTTACAATGGAAAAAGACAAGTTTGGCTAAGAGAGGTTTTCGGTACTCCATTCATAGGTTCAGGAGACAAAAGGGGTAGTCCCTCTGTTTTCACCTGCAAAAATCTTTTTTTTTTTTTTTGAGTTGGAGTCTCACTCTGTCGCCCAGACTGGAGTGCAGTGGCTGCTCCTGGCCACCGCAGCCTTGACCTGCTGGGCTCCAGCGATCCTTCCGCCTCAGCCTTCCAAGTAGCTGGAACTACAGATGCGCGCTACCACGCCCGGCTAATTTTTTATTTATTGTAGAGATGAGGTCTCGCCAAGTTGTCCAGGCGGGTCTCGAACCCGCGGGCTCAGGCAATCCACTCACTTCAGCCTCCCAAAGTGCGGGATTACAGGCTGAGCCACCGAGCCCGGCTGCAAAAATCTTTTAAGGACTTGGGGGAAAGGGGGGAATTCCAAACCATGTGAGAGGGTAGACTAGCAGACCACTAAAAGCAGCTAAGCGCACCCGACCTTTTAAATCCAATCTTCAAAAAAATAAATTAAGTAAAAATGTGTTGAATGCAATCCATGTGTGTATTACAGATATGTGTTGTGTTGGGCAAAATAACTCAGTGGACTTTTTGAAACATACCTTTATGGATCCAATGATATGAAAACATTCTTGGGGGATAAATTATTTATTATACAATCTCTCCACTTTATGAGAAAATCCTCTATACAAATCTGTTCTCAATAAAGCCAAACTTATTCTCAAGCTGATTTTTTAAAAATGTAATCACCAACAGGACATTCATTGGGGTGAAGCAACCTTCTAAAAGTAGTTACTTTTTTTTTTTTAAGAAAGTGTTAGACTAACAGTATCTAGCATGAATGAAATTTTTTATTATAAAAGATTTTTGTGCACAGACATCGGATAGCATTCTCCCTTTGTATGCATGTAGCTGAATAGTAAAGAGAAAGGAGGTCTAGTAAATTAACTGAGTACTTAGTTAAATTACATAAGATATATATGTGTAGACATGATAATGCTGATTATAGGTAGCATTTATTGAGGCTTACTATGTGCAAAGATAAAAGTAGCTATTTCTTGAGGATGCACAGAACTTCATTTTTCCCTGTGTTACTATTTCTAGTGGATGTTTTCCAGCAATCAGAAACCTAGCTGCTGAATAGTGTAATTCTTTTATCTAAATCATTTTCTTTCTTTAAAAAAAATAACTTGTGCTAGGAAAGACAGTAAATTAATGTCAAATATATCGTTCTCCAAATACCTGATTAGTTTGTGTTCTGCTTTTGTTACCTTGATAAGGCTTTCTCCAAGCAGCCACTAATTAACCAAACAGTACTTTATACTTTTATATAATCCTTTTATTTTTCTTAAAAACAAAACAAACAAAAAAACCACACTGTATCTGTATAACCATTGAGACTGAAACCATCCTATGCAGATAGAGTCCAGATGCAGAAACTGAAACACAGGTTAAATGACTTGCTAAGGACAAATGTCAAGGCAGTGGCTGAATTTGACCTGAGAAGTCCCCGAGTCCCCAGACTCTGAGTCCCAGGCTCTAGTCTCAGCATTAGACTGTTGATAATTTTATATCATGTTTTGATTCCACAGATCATACCACAGTCAAGATTATTGGGGATGGGGTCGGGGGAATATCCCACCTTGGTTCTGTATTAGTTTTTTTTTTTTTTTTTTTTTTTGCTGGCTGTACAAACTGCCACAAAACAAAAGTATTCTGATATTTTGGGCAGTTATTCTCCTGGTAGAAATGTATACCATCTAGATACATTAGGACACATCATGATTTAGAAAAACAAATCACTATCTGAATTATACACAATGGCACTGTGTATGTTGTCTGGATTTTTGAACTTCCTTTTAGACCCATCACCCAGGAAAAAAAAGTTGCTATTTGTTACAAATACACAAGTTCACAATGGAACCTTTCAACCCTGAACTTGAAAGACTGATTTTGGTTACTAATTTCCTGTTAGAAATTTTCACATGAAGTCATGAGAATAATTAAATCTCAAAACATTTAGTATTCTCTTAAAATAAAATCAACAGCACTTAATCCTTGAGAAAGTATCTAACAGATTTTCTTTTGTTAAACCAAAAAAGATCTGTCATAAGTATGCATTAGGCATTTACATGGTTTATACACAGGTTAGATTTTCGGGTGCAATTTGTCATGGAAGTTAATGATAGATTCCAGTAAATAAAATTGAAACCTGAATTTTTTGTGTTTATTTAAGGACCTATTTTATTTATCAAGTTATAGGTACAATCAGTTTCAAAAAACTCCTATGGGTGCTGAGCCAAATAGAATTTTGTCCTATTGGACATGTGTTACATTTTTACAATCTAATAAAACTGTCTTGCTAAGCTTCTATGTCTCTAGTGCTATAAAATATTTCCCATCCTTTCCTCAAATCTGGACTTTCAGGCATAAAGATTTGCCCAGATATGGTTTGCGAGAATTCTATTAGCATTATCGTTAGACAGACAATGTATGCTATTCCTAGCGACCTGTGAAATCTATTCTTGGTTAAAATTGCAAAACATTTTAGGGAATATATTTTAAAGAAAAGCATTATTCATGTCCAAAATTTTTAAGTGGTTGTGCACTAAAATGTAAAATAATAATAATAATAAGACAAGTAAAAGGTAACACATAACTATTTTAAAATGTGCGAGAAGAAAAATGAAGCATTTTGACAATTAAAAATAAACAGATTATCTAATTCTGCTACCTTATGTCACATTGAAAGCACCTTTAGCTCAGTCTTCACTACACAAAATTGTCACTTAACTAAACTTTACAGAAACAGTCACAGCTAAAATTCTGGCAAATGAAAATGTGACATTAAATGCTATTTTCTTTTTGACATTCATTCAGATTCCATAAATAATGACACTAGCACAGACATTATTATTACCTTCTCATCTATGTCTTCTAAAGCTTTTCTGCATTCTTCCACCTGGGACTCAATCTCTGCTGGGACTATGGTGTACATCTCGGAATACTTGATTCGCAGTTTTTCCATAATATTCTCAAAAGTTAGCTTCCCTTTCTTAAGGATGCTTTGAAGCTGCTAAAAACATGAAGAGAGTTTCAATACGGGAAAAGTTGAAGTCTAAAAAAAGCGAAAGCAGCTTTCCAGCACACCTTATGATTTAAAGGAGCACCATTTGCATGACAAAACCTCACTATTGATACAAGCTGATTAAGCCTGAGAGATACTCAGCTTGGTCAGAAGATGCTTTCTAATTTGTAAGCATTAAACTTGATATCTCCTCACAGTGTCACACCATTGTAAAGAAAAGACATTACAACATCCCTTGCTTCTAAAGCACCTCTAGGATTTAACTATATCTTGGTTGCAGTCCTGTTCTAAAAAGTTGCAAGTAGCAAAAAGTTTCAAAGAAGTTTTTTGTTGTTGTTATTAACTTGTTGCTATTTCTGCTTCTTCCCCCATTATCATCACAATGATTCAAGGCCACTAAAAGCCCCACGTTGGGAGCAGAAGTGTCTACTTTCATGTAATTAGACAGCCCAGCACAGCTCAGCTCCTTTCAAAAGGGAGGCTTCCAGTTCCCTGCAAAGAATGTAGGTTTTAGGAGATAAAAGAAACCTGAACAAACAGCCTATTGGCTGTGGCCTAGAAACTAAATCTGATCTACCTTCTCCCGCAGTAATTATAAAGGCGAAACTCATTTGTTTGGGAAAGTTTCCCAAAGATCAAGTGGAAAAATACTTCTTGACTTTACTGTGGCTTTTTTGTTGTTTGTTTTGTTTTTACAGTAGCTGTTCAGTAGCATTATTTGTGCTAATGGACTGAATCACTGCACTGAAGAATGATTTTAGTTTTCAATGACTATTCTGTGATGTGTCACTGTTTTTCTTTTCTTAATTCTCAGTAGAGAGCACTTCTAGAGAGAGATGGAAACTTAGAGAATGGTGGCATTCAGACAAAGGTGGGGCTTGAGGGATAAGTGTCATCCTGCTTTATCTAGACCTGGTCCAGGGATACAGTACAGGGCTTCATTCAGAGCTACACTTAGATGGCTTCCCCATGAAGATTGCTTCTGTAATTGACAGTAAGTTTCCTCTTCAACATTAATAAGCAAAAGCTCTAGTTAACAACAGCAGAGAACTTTTTTTTTTTTTTTTTGAGTTGGAGTCTCACCCCATCGCCCGGGCAGTGGCATGCTCACAGCCACCCCAGCATCAACCTGCTGGGCTCCGTGTCAGCCTTCCAAGTAGTCAGAACTATAGGTGCGTGCTGCCATGCCCGGATAGTTTTTGATTTATTGTAGAGATGAGGTCTCCTCAGGCTGCCCAAGCTGTTCTTGATCCTGTGGGCTCAGACAATCCCCTCACCTCAGCCTCCCAAAGTGCTGGGATTACAGGCTTGAGCCACCACACCTGGCCTAGAACTCTTTTTTTTTTTTTTTTTTTTTTTTAGTTCAGTCTCACTCTGTCATTCAGACTAAAACACAGTGGCATGATCATGGCTCACCGCAGCCTCAACCTCCTGGGCTCAGATGATCCATCCACCTCAGCCTTCCAAGGAGCAGGGACTACAGGCATATGCCACTATGCCCAGGTTATTTTTTTATTTTTGTAGAGACAAGTTCTTGCTATGCTACCCAGGCTAGTCTCGAACTACAGGGCTCAAGCAATCCTCTCGCCTTGGCCTCCCAAAGTATTGGGACTATAGGTGTGAGCCACTATACCTGCTAAGTATGACTTTCAATAAACTTCCCAATACCCTTTCTGGCTGTCACCACTGGGCTGGAATGAAGGAAAAGATCATTCTGAAGAAGTGAGTTCCCAAATGATACTTAGGGTGTGCATAGCCCCCATCAGAGATAAGAGGTCATGTCTACTAAAGGAGTAATCTGACAAGCTAGTCAAGAGTGGTCTGAGGTCCCTATTCACCAAATACATTTGAAACATGGCTGAAAACAGGCTGCTGGTTCCAGACCGGCCTACCTCCCAGTCTGGTCTCAGGTCTGCTCTCTGCTCTCCAACCATACTAATCTTCTTCCTTGGTTCTGCCCACACCATGCCACAGGGTCTTTGCATGTGAGAGTCTCTCTCCCTGGCCCGTTCCCTGAACCCCAGTCCCTGAGCTACCTCTGTACCAAGGATTTTGGGTACAAGATTGTGGGGCTATACCATTCACTAGTTTATTCTTTACTCACCTCAAACTGCTGTGCCTTTTCTGGGGGGTCCTGTGTTGCCATATTTTGGAAAGAAGTTATGGTATGTTGAAATAAATTCTTCAAAGCAATTATTTCTTTTGTGAAAGACTGCCTTTCTTGGATTTCAGTCTGCATCAATTCCTTGTTTTTTTGAGCTTTCTGAAAAAGCCTAAAATAGAGCATCAGAATATAATTGTTTCTCTATTCTGTTCTTCTGTGAAACAGTTTTATTTAAACAATTAGCGAAATGTCTGAATAGCACATAATGATGATATTTTTCTCCAAGTAAACACTACCAGTTTTAAATGACCTAGGTACCACATATACAGAGGGTGTCATAAAAAAAAAATGTATGCACATTTTAAGAAAGGAAAAGCTGTATTAAAATTGTAATACTCAATATACATCAATAACAAAAGTTGAATACAAGTCACGTTTGACTTCTGCAATTACAAGAGCTGCTCAAAGTGGGTACTGTCAGCATCCAGACACTTCTGATTACGGCAAACTAAAAGTATGCATAGATAATATCTCTTAAAATGTGCACACATTTTTTGGCACCCCCTCAGTATAAACATATGTTAAATTCTATCAGTCAAAAACCTCTCCAAACCTATCATCCCCAAATATCCTCTTTTTGCACCATACATTGTTGTTGTTATTATTATTATTATTATTATTTGAATCAAGGTCTCACTCTGTCACCCAGGCTGGAATGCAGTGTCATGATCACAGCTCACCACAGCCTTGACCTGCAGGGCTCAGGCAATCCTTCCGTCTTAACCTCCTGAGTAGCTAGAACTACAGAAGAGCACTACCACCCCGGCAAATTTTTGTATTTTTTGTAGAGAGGAGGTCTTGCTATGTTTCCCTGGCTTACTCTTTACATTCTAATTGCCATCTCTATTTTTTTGCCATGTAATCCTTGAGCTCAAATGAAAATGACTTAGAGGCGTGGAGTCATCGGTAGGCTCTTGGGGATACACAACCACCCCTAGTCTTTTTCTTTGCAGCTGATCCCTTTTGCTGTGAATGCAGCAAATATCAGAAGAGGCATTTAAGTGAGTAAAATATTTTCTGAGAGTTATTTGTTAGGTATCTGCAACATCGCTACGCAACAAGAAATATATATGTGGTCTCTACCCTGGTTCCTGAGCCTGAACTCTTAATATCTCTGTAGATAAGAGTGCCAGGAGAGCCGGGCTCGGTGGCTCAGCCTGTAATCCCGCGCCTTTGGGAGGCTGAGGTGAGTGGATTGCCTGAGCCCACAGGTTCGAGACCCGCCTGGGCAGGCGAGATCTCATCTGTACAATAAAATCAAAAAATTAGCTGGGCGTGGTAGCGCGCGCCTGTAAGTCCGGCTACTCGGAAGACTGAGGCGGAAGGATCACCGGAGCCGAGCAGATCGAGGCTGCGGTGGTCGGGAGCAGCCACTGCACTCCAGTCTGGGCGACAGAGTGAGACTCCGACTCAAAAACAAAACAAAACAAAAAAAGAGTGCCAGGAGAATCTTTTGTTCTAATACTCAGTCTTTGACTCTAGTTCTTGACATAGGGCTCCTGTGGACTTTGTCATTTCTGGGGTGACAGGAGCATCTTTTGTCCTAATGAGGTGATTTTGGTGGGCTTCTGAATAGCCTGAGGATGGAGGCTGCTTGCCAGGGGAACCAACCCCATGATTAGAGGATTAGAACTTCCAGTACCACCCCTACCTCACCCCACACACCCCAACTTCTGGGGAGGGTATAGAAGCTGAAGATTGAGTTGATCACCAATGTCCAATGACATCATCAATCCTGACTACATAATGAAGCCTCCATAAAAACCCAAAAGGACAGGATTCTAAGAGCTTCTGGATTGTGGGACATGTGAAGGTGGCCATGCGGCCCATCCAGCGACAGCACTGAAGCTCTGCGTTCCTTCCCCTATACCAGGCCCTATGAATCTCTTCAGTCTGGTCACTCATTTTATCCTTTATTAATAAACTGGTAAACATAAGTGTTTCCCTGAATTCTATGAATGGTTCTGGCAAATTAACTGAACCCGAGGAAGGTGTGGAAGGAACTCTCAATTTATAGCCTATTGGTCGGAAGTACAGGGAGCACCCACCACTTGTGATTGGCACCTGAAGTGGGGGGCACTTTCATGGGATTGAGCCCTTAACCTGTGTTACCTCATGCTGCCTCCAGGCAGAGAGTATCAGAGCTAAACTGGTGTCGCTGGAGAATTGCTGGGTATGTGTGGGAAAACCCCCACTCATCTGGTGTCAGAAGCATTATGTTGAGTGGTGTGTGAGAGTTTCTAGCCTTTGACCCAATGATTCAACTTCTCAGTATCTTTCTCAATGAATTAATCACACATCAAGATAGAGATACTGGCATAAGAATATTCACTGCAGTGTTGTTTATAAAGGTAAAAAAATATATATTTAATTTAAAGGTGCTTTATTAGGGTGTTGGTTAAATCAACTATGGTATATCCATATGGTAGAATATTTTACAGCTATGTTTTTGTTTTGTTTTGTTTTGAGTCAAAGTCTCACTCTGTCGCCCAGGCTGGAGTGCAGTGGCAAGCTCAGTCACCACAACCTCAACTTGCAGAGCTCAGAAGATCCTTCTACCTCAGTCTTCCAAGTAGGTGGAACCACAGGCATGTGCCACCACATCTGGCTAATTTTTTGATTTATTGTAGAGATGAGGTCTCACCATGTTGCCCAGGCTGGTCTCAAACCTCTGAGCTCAAGTAATCCTCTCGCCTCTGCCTCCCAAAGTGTTGGGAATGAAGGCTTGAATCACCGCATCTGGCTACAGCTATGTTTTAAAATAACATTTAATGACAAAGGAGTACAAACATCACATGTTGATATTTATTCAAGACAATACAAAATAGCGTAAGAACTATGATCTCAAATTATTTAAAAGCAAAATCATAGTTTTAAAAAAAAGAAGAGATAAGAGTGATTGGCAAGGGTTGTTGCTGAGTGGTGAGATTAAGTTGGGTTTTTATATTAATCTTTATCATTTTCACATTCTTTAAATTTCTTGTTTATGTTTTCTGAGTCAGAGTCTCACTCTGTCACCCAGGCTGGAGTGCAGTACCACTATCACGGCTCACCACAGCCTCAGGCAATCTTTCTGCCTCAGCCTCCTGAGTGGCTGGAACTGTAGGCATGCACCACCATGCCTAGGTAATTTATTTTTATTTTTATTTTTTATTTTGTAGAGATGAGATCTTACTACGTTGCCTAGTCTAGTCTCAAACTCCTGGGCTCAAGTGATTCTCCCTTCTCGGCCTCCCAAAGTGCTAGGATTACAAGAGTGAGCCACCACACCTGGTCTCATGCTCTAAATTTCTTATGGTGACTACGTTATTAGTAAATTAGAAAAAGAGCAAACATACAAAAAAAACAACAAAATAAATAAATTTGAAGGATATCATTAACACCAGGATGGAAAATATATGCTTGTTTTGATTTCAATTATTCATCTTTTCCATTCCTTTTTATACCTATCAGTGTTGTATCATTTGCCATTATTCTACAATATTTTTATAACTTCTAAATTTGATATTTTCAAAATTTTGAGCTGAAATGGTCAAGCACATTTCCTTAATAGTTTTTCATAAATCTTACTTGGTGCATCGCTCTTGCATAGAAGTAATCTCTTGAAATGCTGGAACAGTTTCCACAGTCCCTAAGCTTTCTGGAACATTCTGGATACTTTTGATGCGCAGAAGAAGTAGAGTCAGTAGCAGCTGCTGCTTCTCCACATTCTCTTCATACTGGCGTACATAGTCCAGCAGCTCAGAGAGCTCCTCTGTGGTGGCTGCCTCTTTTGTTCTCGAAATTTCAGGGAGTTCTTCCTGAAGATTATCCAAAATAATTGCTTCTCGCTCCATCTAATTCAATAAACAGAGCAAGACAACTAAATGTGGTAAAATGCGCTCTTAGCACTTTAGGAACTGAAACATACCTTGGCAGCTATAATGCCTGTGCTATCTCGCGTCAAAGGGTTCCTAATGCCACATCCTAGTTCAAAGTAATATTTGTTTCCCTGTGGCTGGGAATATCAGTGTCCACTATCAGAACCCCATAGTCCCCATTTATTGCTCAGGTAGACACGCAATTAAAACAAAGCACTGCTGTTGTGGGTTGAAGGAAATGCTGCTGAATATTTTCATAAGTAATGTATTTCCCCTTCAGATTTCAGTTGGATAAGGCAGCATTTCTCCTGAGATACGGCAGTTAGAGCTCCACCAAACTGCTTTCACTAAGTATGAAAAGGTTGGGAAACTATCAGGTATGCAAAACTTTTCTGCAGGTCTCTTTTCTTTCCAATCTCTATATGGTCAGAAAGTAAGCCCAGTAGATCCTCATGACCAGTCAGCACGACTGAGCCAATCAAGTATTTATCAACGATATTTGTACAGAACCCAGAACTACATAAGCTGTTCCACCACATATCTGGAATTTGTGAGTTCTACCGGCCCTGAAAACTGAACTCAGAATGAAGATGCAAGGGGGCCTGAATCAGATGGCTCTTAAGCCTCTCCTCAAATCTCTGGCCCTTTCCTCAGGTGTACCACTTGCCACATTCTGCCTGACTGCAATGTTAACTCTCCTGCTCTATATTCAGAGTCACAAATCCTAAATATTTGTGTTGCTGTTGTTGAGACAGTGTCTCTCTCTGTTGCCCAAACTGGTCTTGAACTCCTGACCTCAGGTGGTCCTCCTACCTTGGCCTCCCAAAGTTCAGGGGTTACAGGCATGAACCACTGCCTGGTCATTTTTCTTTTACCCTTTGGATCTTACAATCTTGACATTACAGAATATCACACCACTCATCTACATTTATGATATCATGCCTACTGAAAAGGTAAGCCAAGACCTGAATGTCCAGTAAGCCTTGATAGTGGGTGGAGAAAAAAGGTCTGTGAAAATTAGAAGCCCTAGCACCAATTAGGTTTCCAGGGGCCCAGGGAGCTGGGGCGGGCCAGGGCTTCACCTCTAAGGTCAAGGTCAAGTTATACAATCTTGTAACTCCACTGCTAAGAAAAAGACACAGCACTGGGCGGGTCTTTTGGGGTTTTGGCAACACTATATGCTACACTTGGGATTATTGCTCAGATCCGCCCATCAGAAGGCTGTCTATCTTGAGGGGGTCCTGGTCACATGATCCAGTTTGATCCCCATTCGCCAGAATACTTGAGTGTGGGTATGTAGACTCGCCCCTCTCCAAGAGACCCAGTTGAGCAATGTGGGCTTCCCATCAGCTCAAACCTAAATTCAATTGGATTATAGGTCCTGGTTCTTGGAAAACCAGCTATACTTCCACCAAGGAATGATATTAGGGTCCCATTGTGTCATTGTATGTCCCCTCTGCTGGAAACTGGTATGCAAATAAAGGAATGGTTACATTGAGGGGGGTTATTGTACATCTAGGGTTTCCAATAGGCAAGAGGCCTGAAACAACTACATCTATAATCCAGGACTTCATGGGACATCTTGGGATGCTGCCCCAGCTGGTGAAGACTAGAAATGAGAAGCTAAAGCAAGCATGACCCAAGAAGGGTAAAGACACAAAGGGCCCAGCCCTTTTTCCTGTTTTATTTCTCCTTGTCCCCCAACTCCTGTTCCCTGGGATTGCCTTCCAAAATAAACCACCTACTTGTGACCCTGGTCTCAATCTGCTGTGATATTGGTAAGTAATGAGGAGGGTAACACAAGCAGGAGAACAACTTATATAAGGACAAAAATTTTACTCAAAAGCCAGGCGGCTCTTCAACTGGTGAATGAGAAAACAAACTACAGTATATCCACCCAGTGGAAAACTACTCAGGAATAAAAAGAAATGAACTCTGACACAAGCAGTAGCAAGAATGAATCTCAAGTGCATTATGCTTGGTGGAAAGAAGCCAAACTCAAAAGGACACAAACTCTAAGACTCCATTTATATGACATTCTGGAATTGGAACGAATACAGGCAAATAAACAGATTAATGATTTGCAGGGTCTGGAAGTGATAGAAGGGGCTGACCACAAAGAAGCACACGAGGATCTTTTTTTATTTTTATTTTTAAGAGATAGGGTCTCAGCTGGGCTCAGTGGCTCAGCCTGTAATCCCAGCACTTTGGGAGGCTGAGGTGAGTGGATTGCCTGAACCTGCGGGTTCAAGATCAGCCTGGGCAACTTGGCGAGACCTCGTCTCTACAATAAATCAAAAAATTAGCTAGGTGTGGTAGCAAGGGCCTGTAGTTCTGGCCACTTGGAAGGCTGAGGCAGAAGGATGGCCAGAGCCCAGCAGGTCGAGGCTGGGGTGGCTGTGTGTGTGTCACTGCATGCCAACCTGGATGACAGAGTGAGACTTCAACTCAAAAAAAAGGGATAGGGTCTCACTCTATTGACCAGGCTGGAGTATAGTGACATGGTCACAGCTCACTGAAGCCTCAACCTCCTGAACTCAAACAATCCTTTCTCTTCAGCTCCTGAATAGCTGGAACTACAGGTACATACCACCATGCTCAGCTAATTATTTATTTTTCGTAGAGACAGGGTTCACTAAGTTGCCCAGGATGAACTCGAACTCCTGGACTTAAGCGATCCTCCCATCTCAGCCTTCCAAAGTGCTGGGATTACAAGCGTGAGTCATCACACTCCGCCTACAAGAGAACTTTTCTTTTTTTCTTTTGAGTCAGAGTCTCACTCTGCTTCCCAGGCTGGTAGTACAGTGGCATGCTCATGGCCATCTCAGCCTCGACCTGCTGGGCTCAGGCGATCCTTCTACCTCAACCTTCCAAGTAGCTGCAACTATAGGAATGTACCACCACACCCGGCTAATTTTTTGGTTTATCATAGAGATGAGGTCTCTCCAAGTTGCCAGGGCTGGTCTCAGACCTGTGAACTCTGGTAATCCTCTCACCTCAGCCTCCCCAAATCCTGGGATTATAGGCATGAGCCACTGTGCCCAGTCACAAGAGAATTTTTCAAGGAGCTGTCCCAAATCTTGATTTTGTTGGTGGTCATGTGACTCTGTGCTTGTTAACACTCAACAAACTTTATGCTAAAAAGCATGAAGACAGCCTCACATAGTTACCACAAATATTATACATTCAATTGTCCACCTAGAAGAGGCTCTGTAATTCCTTGATTATTTTCCTTAGATACAGAATCATAATGTAATTGGTTAGAAAACTTTTAGGTTCACATTCAATTGTAAAATAGGCTTTAGAAAGGAGAAGGACCCATAGTTGCACCATAAGCAAATACAGTGAAGGAGACTAGAAAACAACTAGAAATAGGAACTAATAAAGAAATGACTTTGTGTACAGGGGGAAGAAGCTGGCCTTACATCGCCAAATATCTTTGAAGATATGACTTTATTCTAGATACTATGATCATCAAAGCATGAAATGATGATTCCGAATAACCAGAAATGAATAATTACACCAAGCAGAATCTGTTTAAGAAAACAGGGAGGTAGGCCAGGCACAGACTCAAGCTTGTAATCCTAACACTTTGAGAGATGGCGGGGGAAGGACTGAGCCCAGGAGTTTGAGACCAGCCTGAGTGACATAGTGAAACCTGGTCTCTATAAAAAAAAAAATAATAAAAAAAATAAAAATATTAGCCGGGTGTGGTAGTGTATGCTGTAGTCCCAGCCACTCGGTCTGCTGAGGTAGAAGAATGGCCTGAAACCAGGAGGTTGAGGCTGCCATGAGCTGTGATAGTTGTGATCATGCCACGGCACTCCAGTCTAGGTGACAACTCAAAAACAAACAAACAAAAAAACAGGGAAGTAAAACTTTAGGGGGAAACGTTAAATTGAAATTTGTTTTTTAATTTGGATATTTACAAGCAGGACATTTGCGTGTATTAAAAAGCTATGCAAACTGTGTATTCCACAGAGATATTGGATTACTACAGATATTTTTAAAATAGGAATTCATTTTATCTCATGCGGAACAACCAATCATACTAACAGAATCTTATATGTACAGGTCTTTAGATGATGTACTTTTTATTGAGTAGATAAAAGCCACATTAAAATCATTCATGAATTTGATGTGTGTAAATACCATGTAAGTTGATAGCTTAGTGGTTAAGCCTCACTCAGAGTGAGGCTTAATTCAAATCCTCTTCTACCACTTGTGAATTCGGGTGAGTTACTCATTCTCACTGTGTCTCACTTTCCTCATCTGTAAAGGAAGGAAAATAAAAATACCCTCATAGGATTCCTGTGAAAAGTGCTTCAAACTATGCCTGGCACACAATAAGCACTCAACTTCAACACTTTGCTGTTTTTTTAAAAATTACATACAGACTTTTTTTTTTTTGCTGGTGCTACTCTTTGAAAAATACATTTTGTTAGTTGATAGTGTCAAATACTGGTATGAATAGTTACAAAGTTCTAACACTACAAAGTCTAATGCTGGTACGAATTAACAACATATACATGCAATAGTGTGAGAAAACGGATGGAGCAAAAGCATGGAATTTGCCCAGACCTGGATTTGAATAAGAAGTGTCCCTCAACACCTATTTACCAAGTGCTCCCGAAGTGGGTTCCAACAGTTACATCAGTGAGCAGGACAAACCCAGTCCCACGGGGGCTTATAGCTCGGTTGACCTCAAGCGGGGCCTTGTGCCATTACTTAATCTGTCAAGTGCCTCCATTTTCCCCATCTATCAAATGGTGATAATATTTACTTCCTAAGGACAAAGATTCAGTGAGATCATGCATGAACTGTCTTCTAGCACAGTGTAGTAACTCAGTAAATGGTGCCTTGATACATAGGCAAGACCTGGTACCAGCAGCCCCATGAATATAATTTAAAGTTTTGTGTTTTTGTTTTTGTTTTTAGGAGTCTTCCTCTGTCACCTAGGTTGAAGTGCAGTGCTC